TATTACTTCCTAATATAGTGTATAAAATTACTCACTGAAGAATTTAGAAGAACATTAAAGGGAAAGCTACAAGATAGACATAATAAATTTTGACCATTATTATTGCTATTAGCACTGGCTACAACCCAAACCTCCCACTCACTGATCCCCTAGAAACAGCTGTATGTAGCACAGCATGTTTTAGTGTTTTTTGCTTTTTATCATTCAATGTTTTACTCCATTAAAATTTAAGAATGTTTTTTGGTGGATTATAACTATCAAACATTGAATTCTTTAGAGTTTAAAATTTGTGATTGTAATTTACCTATTATATACATATATATTATGTACTAAAACTTATCAAGAATTTAACTAAAGCTTTCAGTGCATTCAAATGATGAGACTTCTTATGAAAATGACATCATAACTCTTCTTTCTCTTGGATTAATAAATGAGTGTCTATAGATTATTACTTTTTTCTGTGTGAGCATTATGAGAGATATGACATGATCCCTTTCCTTGGAGAACTTATTTTCTTACAAAAGACCAGTCATAATTAGTAAGTACTGTTAATAATGGATTTAGAGGACAATACAAATGCAAATACAATACAAATATAATAATAATGTAGAATTGAAGAGAAGAAAGAAGATAGTGTGTGCTGGAGCAATTAGGGAAGGTGGCAACTATGACAAACTTTAATGCTTAAACTAGATTATGAAAGATAATCAAGACTCAGTTTCCTAGAGGTATAAGGGAAAGAGGTCTGTTTGCAGAGAAAATATAATAATTTCTAGTGATGACCAAGGTCCTCAGGGACCTGGTCTGATCAGAACAGACATAAGACCATTGTAAATTTTTGTGTAAGAGAATCTACAAAGTGTTTTTTATCAGGAATTTTATAGGGCAGAAAGGGTTATTCCACAACAAGAGAACATTATAGTTAAAAAAAAAAGAAAGAAAGAAAAAGAAAAAAAATAATAAAGACTGGGCTAGTATAGTGGTTATGTGCTAGAGAAAGAGAGATTGGCAGGATAAGCTTAAATGGAAAGTGGTGAAATTCCTTTATTGACTAGAGTTGAAGGCTATATAGGAGATGTGTCATTAAACTTTATTCTGAACATTTTCATCAACTCCAAGAGTCCTTAAAATATCAAGAAGCCATGGTTAGAAAACACAGTAGAGCTGGGCATGATAGTCTATGTCTATATTCCCAACACTTCAGGACCTGAGACAAGAGGATAAGATTAGAGCCAAGGCCATCCTGAAGTACATAGGAAGAAACATACAATAAACAGGCAAAGTAGGCCATGCCATTGTGCTCACAAAAAGTATTGAGTTATTTTTCAAGGCATTTTCTAAAGTCTTTTCAGCAAATAGGCCAAAAGAATTGCTGAAGTACCACTCAGAGGATGTCAGAGGAGTGGAGCTGGATGTGGTACCATCCAGTTAATTACTGAATCTATTTAGATACTCAACTTGGAGCAATATCTATATGTAGACCCAGAGTGAAATCCAAGTCATATTTATTCAAATGTCAGGTTTTTTTTTTTACTTGGGATTTGCTTGTGAAATTGATGAGAGAACGATACACAAAGTTTAAATTACATTTTTATCAGAATGTTAAAGATAATTGCCTATTAATTCTACCTCTCATTACTTCTAAAATTCACCTTTTTGTTTTTGTATTTCAACATTTTTAAGTTGGATTGTATGCTTCTATGGATATCATCTTGTATTCTTGGCTAGCCAATCATTATATACCTAACATTGCCTTCATCCATTTCCTTTGTTTTTCTATTTTGTGTATGTACCAAAGTTATATAAGATAAATTATATCCAAATAAGTCTAAAATAACTGTTTTAGTAAAAAGTCAATGTTAGAAAGGCAAAAGCAAAGTTTGAGAGCATGTTTTTCTTTCTCAGTAGAACATATATTGATGACTTTTAAAAATATTTAATTTTGTATATATGGGGTTTTTGTTTGTCTGTCTGTATGTATGTCTGTATGTCTGTATGTATGCATGTATGTGTGCCATGTGTGCAGTGCCCATGGAAGCCAGAAGAGGGCATTGGATCCCCTGGAACTGGAGTTAGTTAGGAGCAGCCATGTGGGTTCTACGAACAGAAATGTTGTCCTCTACAAGGGTAGCAAGTGCTTTTAACTGATGAACTATTTATCTCTACAGAGACACATGAAAATAAATATCTTAGATTTGATGGAATGTGATATAAAATAGCTAATAATGGCAAATCTTCACCAATGTGATACAGATAACTAAAGCATTTCTTTATTTTCTTATTTTTGAGATAAGATCTCACTGTGTATCCTGGTTAGCCTGGAACTCACTATATAGAGTAGGCTGGCCTCAAAATCACAAAGATCCACTTTTCTCTGTCTCCTAAGAGCTAGGATGAAAAGCATGCACCAATATACACTAGTTTAAAGATGTGTCATTTCATTGGCCTGAATTGGAAGAGCCCCTTGAGTTTTTATATGTGGACTTAGGATACTAGAAAAGAGTTTCTCTCCATGGTATAAGTATTACCTCACCACCTTCCATGCAGGATCCATATTTCTGTAATGGTACTGAATAAAAACACTCCTAAAACTTTAGATATCAGCAGTATTCACTAGGACATTTCCCTCAAACTAACTTGCCTTTCTAACTTTAAATCACAATGTGGTTCAAGCAGCGCTCTCTCTTTCTCTCTCTTTCTCTCTCTCTCTCTCTCTCTTTCTCCCTCTCTCTCTCTTTCTCTCCCTCATAACTTGTAGATTTTATTAATAATGACAACCTAATTCATATTGAACTTCTACTAATCACTAGTATAAAGCACAGAAGCAAGAAGCAAGCAAACATAAATAGACCTGATTCTGCTCTGAGTAATTTAAAAGCTGATACTGGCTCATCATGCCTAAGTTACGGGCAGCAAAGATAGTTCAGGAACAACCAAAAGTCCTAGGACACAGAGGAGCAAGTGGCTCAGTACCCTTCATTAAGGGTGACACGGCTACCAAATAATGGGGATGCAGTGAAGAGTGGGGGAGTAGGCTTGAGGCAAAGTGTCCATTCTCTTCAGGAAGGAAAACGGGAGCCTCCTTCAGAGGGATGCTGCTCCCATCTCAGTCATTGCCTGGATGGTGAGTGTGAAATGTTGCTCACTGCCTCTGCTACCTGTCTGGCTGTGCTTGAGTAGTTGGCTCTGTGAAGAGCCCCCTTTAACTGTGGCTGGTGTGTGGAGGCTGTATAAAGATATGAAGTCTGCAATTGGAGTTTGCATTGCTTTCCTGAGGAAAAGCAGCCTCAAGATGATGTTCATGCCACTGTAGACTTGAAGAGAACCTTCATGTCCCATTTTGGTGAGAATTCCCACAGCATGTGCAGCTTAAGCTCTCTGTGCTCCCTGTTGAGAATACCACATGTGATGACTGCCATCTTCTTGCTGCTCAGCTGCCCCTCCTGTCTAAGCAATTCAAACTATGTTTATCATTTATGCAAACTGAAGGTGAATATGTGAGGAAATTTGCATAGGAGATGATATAAAGCTTTTTGATTTAGAATATGCTATCCCTTTCTAAAGTGAACAATTAAAACTTGGATTTTTTAGTACTAGAGCTTTTGGCCATTTCTCCACTGTACCCTATTGTCTGGAGGTAGGTTGTTTTTATGTTTAGCAACACAACATGGACAGAAACACCTGTGGATTTACCCAGCATAATGATCAATGTATGTGTATGTCTTTACAAGTCCATGTTCCAGAACTGATAGGTAGAAACAAAGTTAGCACGTCAAGTTAGAGGGATGCTACTCTTAATGCTAATGGTACAGTGCTTCAGGTAAGTACTTCTGAAGTCTTCCACCACCTGGTGCACCTTGGCTTGGTCTATAGGTATGTTTTACTTTTGCTTTGTTATTCAATTTCAGTTGGGTTTGTAGAGCACGCTTATAGGTGGAAAGTCAAATTGCAGTAAACAAGTCATTTAACTGTGTGGTGTGCTGTTAAGAGACTTTGTAGGAACCTACACATGCACAGAAAGATGTTCTGGCTACCTATTCCAAAGTGCTTAAAGCACTACTCAGGTTTGTAAAGGTATGACAACAGAGTTTTACACACACACACAATACATAGCCGGGGGGGGGGTATGTTCTGATAAAGAGAAGTTGAGCTTTTTCAATTAGATCTATAGATTAGCCAAAACAAGCAGTCAGGCTAAGTGCCTTCAGTGAGTTGGGAGATTTGAGTGTGAGATGAGATGAGTACAGAGTCTGCATGTGAGAGGCATTGATACTGACTTACATGCTTTTCTATGGGGACTAGTCATCTTTCTCTGAAGAGACACATTGCCTGTCTTGGGCACATCATTAGAACCAAGCTATTGAAAATGAATTGTTTAGAAATAAGCAAAACCTTTTCAGATGTAGTAGAACTTTGGAGATGGTATCTCTAGTTCCTGATCTGTTCCTGCTCATACTCCTCAGAGCTACACAGACCCATCCGGCCCTCAAGCCACTACTGTTCTGCCACAAATTCCTACACAGGACTGTGTTGCTGACTTGGAAGGAAGATTACTATTCCACTTGCAGTGTTGCTTAGTAACATTTGTGATTGTGGTTCTGGTGACAGCGTGAGCAGATATCATTAAATATTAAACTCCCAAAGCTACTAAAGTGGGAGGAAGTGGGAGCAGTGTAGCCATCATTGTGTTCTCTTGCTTAGAAACCATTTACTCTCAGGCTTACAAATCTCGGGGAAAACATTGCACATCTCTGGTTTATATTAAGCCATATACAGTACACTAGCTGACACTGACTTGTGTCCCTTGCAGCTGGAGTGATCACTAAGACAAACACACACACACACACACACAAAAAAAAAAAAAAAACAAAAAAAAAAACTTGACCCTGCAGAATGGTCTGGAATTACAATCAGATGGGCCACGCAGTGTCCCAGAGAAAGTAAGCTCTAACCTGTTCTATGTCTCTCTCTCTCTCTCTCTCTCTGCTTCCTTCCCACAGTTCCACCAGGTGAGAAGAGTGATGACCATCCTTTTCCTTACTATGGTTATTTCATACTTCGGTTGCATGAAGGCTGCGCCCATGAAAGAAGTAAACGTCCATGGACAAGGCAGCTTGGCCTACCCAGGTGTGCGGACCCATGGGACTCTGGAGAGCGTTAATGGGCCCAGGGCAGGTTCGAGAGGTCTGACGACATCACTGGCTGACACTTTTGAACATGTGATCGAAGAGCTGCTGGATGAGGACCAGAAGGTTCGGCCCAATGAAGAAAACCATAAGGACGCGGACTTGTATACTTCCCGGGTGATGCTCAGCAGTCAAGTGCCTTTGGAGCCTCCTCTGCTCTTTCTGCTAGAGGAATACAAAAATTACCTGGATGCCGCAAACATGTCTATGAGAGTCCGGCGCCACTCTGACCCAGCCCGCCGTGGGGAGCTGAGCGTGTGTGACAGTATTAGCGAGTGGGTCACAGCGGCAGATAAAAAGACTGCAGTGGACATGTCTGGTGGGACCGTCACGGTCCTGGAGAAAGTCCCGGTATCAAAAGGCCAACTGAAGCAATATTTCTACGAGACCAAATGTAATCCCATGGGTTACACAAAGGAAGGCTGCAGGGGCATAGACAAAAGGCACTGGAACTCGCAATGCCGAACTACCCAGTCGTATGTTCGGGCGCTTACTATGGATAGCAAAAAGAGAATTGGCTGGCGATTCATAAGAATAGACACTTCCTGTGTATGTACACTGACCATTAAGAGGGGGAGATAGTGGATTTATGTTGTATAGATTATATTGAGACAAAAATTATCTATTTGTATATATACATAACAGGGTAAATTATTCAGTTAAGAAAAAAATAATTTTATGAACTGCATGTATAAATGAAGTTTATACAGTACAGTGGTTCTACAATCTATTTATTGGACATATCCATGACCAGAAAGGAAACAGTCATTTGCGCACAACTTTAAAAGTTTGCATTACATTCCTCGATAATGTTGTGGTTTGTTGCCGTTGCCAAGAATTGAAAACAAAAAGTTAAAAAAAATAATAATAATAAATTGCATGCTGCTTTAATTGTGAATTGATAATAAACTGTCCCTCTTTCAAAAAACAGACAAAAAAACAAAAACAAAAATTTGAACCAAAACATTCCGTTTACATTTTAGGCACTAAGTATCTTCGTTATTGTTAGTCCTCTGTTTTACTGCTTTCGACTTCTGATAGCGTTGGAATTAAAACAATGTCAAGGTGCTGTTGTCATTGCTTTACTGGCTGAGGGGATGGGGGAAGGGAGGGTATATTTCTGTTTGTTTTGTGTTTTATTTTGTTTGTTTGTTTGTTTTGTTTTTTAGTTCTACCAGGAGTAGGGATGCAGAAAACTTCTTCAGTATCCATTCTGGTTGATAAAAACGTTACATTTGTATGTTGTAAAGATGTTTGCAAAATCCAATCAGATGACTGGAAGTGAATAAAAATTAAGGCAACTGAATAAAATGCTCACACTCCACTGCCCATGATGTATCTCCCTGATCCCCAGAGGACCTTGCTGGGTCAGGGAAAGCTGCTTTTATTATAAAGATCCGAATTTGTTCAAAGTATCTTCTTCCCCTCCCTCCTCTCCCTTTGGTCCTCTTTTTTTTTTTTTTTTTTTTTTTTTTTTTTTGTTTTGTTTTGTTTTGTTTTGTTTTGTTTTATATTAAGAAAGAAAATGTAGCTGTGCGCTTTGAAATATTGTATCACCACTGTGAACAGGTGAACGAAGTTTGTCATATCATGGCACTCATGGGAAACAAGTGATTTTTGTTTTTGTTTTTGTTCCCCCATGCCCCAGAAAGATAAAAAGAACAAGAATAAATAACCAAAATATTCCTTTTTTTTTTTTTATAGTAAGTGGTAAGCATTGGGTAAATCATTATAAGGCCTAACAATGCTTTGCAGGTAAAAGTCACTAAATGCAGCCAGACACTTAGATCAGAGCCAGAATCCACACTGAATGGCCCTGTGGAGGCTAAGTGGAGCTGACATAGCGTTTCCTGGCAATGCAGGAGGAATTTCTGAGTGGCCATCCTGAGATCTAGGTGGAGGTGGGGAATGGCACTTGAGACATTCCTAAAGGAAGGCACGAAGCACCCTTTAGAGTAGGCTCTGGAATGATGTGTCACATTGCTTAGACCTCCTGCTTTAAGTGCCTACATAACCTAACAGTGCTCAAGAGGTTCTCAATTGAAGAACCGCACTCAAATCCATATATGCCCTCCATCCTGTCCGTTCCTAAATAATTGTGTAGAAAGTTGGATTAACCAGGAGCGGGTTTGGATACAAATGTGGCATTTGTGATGATGAGATTAATGCAATGTGATAGAAAATGTTTGCTATGTGGATACCTACTTGTTTTGAACCTAGACTTCAGGAAGCCTAGATTTTATTTTTGATAGTTTTGGTAGAAGTAAAAGACACCAAAACTCTGATGGAATTATCAGTGTCTGGGAAGGCTAGAAACCCTGGGCAGAAACAGACTAAAGAAGGTGATTTTCACTATGGAAAGGGCAAGAACACAGGAGAAAATTTTGTGCCAGTGAAGAGCACAGAAACCTCGTGCAATTCTGTCTATTCACAGGTGAGGGTCCCCTCTGTACTTTGCCTTTTGAGGTTAGAAGTCAAGTTGGTAATCTGAATGAATGGACCCAGTGAGAATTAGTGCTAAGCCCATTTCTCTATGCAGCCCTCTTCCAAGAGTGAATGTGTTAATGGTTACTTATCTGGGTTCCTGAGCATCGGAAAAGAGGCAAAATTTTCTTCATCCTAGGAGGAGAAAGGATAAACAAAAGTGAATGTCCACTGTGACTCAGGAAGTTAAGATACCATCAGCAAACAGTTTCTTTTTGTCCAATCTTTTCTTTAGAATTAGCCTGCCTTTTCAGAATACCACTGAATATCTGTCTTTGAAAGAAAGACTTTATGTAGCATAGATTGTTATGTGCAGTTTGACAACATTAATCTTCGTCATTGTTTTTTGACCTATTAAGGAATGCTTGGACTATCTGCTCTATGTCAACTTTTTGCAGCTTCATTCTGAGAGACGCCAGTCAAACAAACAAAAGAATCCCCGTCACAATCTTACAGTATTCCAAGGCCAGGTCTGTTAAGTGGCTTCGTAGCAGACACTCAGCAGCTGTGTGGTCAGTGGCTCATTCTCTTATCCAATAAGGATACATCATAGTTACATGTTTGGTGGTTTATGTTGACCTGAGATTTGTTTTTAAAATCCCTTCTTTGTTTTTGTCCGTTCTGGTTCTAGTTCTGTTCTGTTCTGTTTTGTTTTAAAGTCTTGCTGTGGTCTCTTTTTGGCAGAAATGTTTCATGCATGGCAGCAGACCTGTTGCTTTTTTATAGTGATTCCCATTGAAACTGTAAGTAAATGTCTGTGGCCTTGTTCTCTCTATGGTAAAGATATTATTCACCATGTAAAACAAGAAAAATATTTATTGTATTTTAGTATATTTATATAATTATGTTATTGAAAAAAATTGGCATTAAACTTAACCACATCAGAAGCCTATTGTAAATACAGGATCTATTTAAGTGTACCAATTAACATATAATATATGTTTTAAATATAGAATTTTTAATGTTTTTTAAATATATTTTCAAAGTACATAAAATCTGGGGGTTCTGGGTTTTTTCTCTTCACTGTTAAATATGAAAATGTGTTTTATTATAAATACATGTGTTCCTTGCTTTAAGACCAACTTGACTAGTGCTAGCAACTGAACAGTCCCCACACAGGATGCTTATTTCAAAGCATGGGGAGGCCAATCCTGCATACTGTAAGCTTCAGAAAAGCTCCAGGATTGGGCCTGTCTTCTGTACTAGAAGACAGGAGTGTCATTTTCTAGGACACTTGAAACTTTTCTGCTTTGAAGTGATATACTTTCATCAAATACCAAACCATGTATCCTAGCAACATCAGGATCCATGAACCAGGGCTGGCAGGCTCTATTTGATTATAAAATAACTGTTTAAAAAAATCAAAGTAGGTTTACTTAGGGATAATGAGAATAAATTGGCTCAAATTTAGAAAGTCAATGACTGAAAATCTTGCAGAAATTCAATATTTGGAGACAGGTCGTGTCCCCTCGGTTTGGAAGCGATGCCGTTTGCAGCATGTGCTTGTATCCATTGCACTGATTTAATTTTTGTATGTGGAGCATGCAGATTTTATATCATAGTACCCATGATCTAACAGATTGCTACAATCTCTAAAAAGATTTGCCTCCATGATGGCTGCCAAGCCGCTGGGTAATTTAGTTAAAGTGTTTAAAGTTATCACTAAATCTTAGGGAAATAAATGGAAGGATTTTAAATTAGAGAAAGGGCCATTAAGGAAAAGAGCATCTGTTCTGACTCCTCAGGCTCCCTGTTTGAGCACTGACAGCCCATCCCAGAAAGTGGAGAACTATATCTGTGCAATGTATCATTTCTATTTCAAACATACACACATGGTTTCCTCGTGTATTGTCTTATAAATAAGGATCAGGAAAGTCATAACAAACACTGACTTGTGTTGTGTATATGCAAGAGCAAATCGAATGAGATAAATGACTCTAATCTGCCCAGTGCATTTGCAGAGCACTCTAACCTCTGAGAACCCCCCCCCTCCACCACACACACACACACACCAGCCAGCCCTGACATCCCAGTCATGAAATTAGACCTTTGTAATACTTAAGGCTTACCCAATTCTCATAGTTGACAAGACCAAAACGTTTTTAAAATGATTGAGTAACAAGAGGTGGAAATTAAATAGGACGTCCATGTTTGTGAAGTTAAAGGGGTTTGGCAAACAGGGTGAGGTTTCCATTAGTGCTGAAGATCAGATCAAAATGTATAACTTACTTAACCAACATAAAAGGTCACCTCTATCCAGAGGTGACCAAAACATGAGAGAAAATACCAGGTCAGAGGAACAACAACAAAATGGAAGCATTGCTAAATTACCCAATTGGAGTGTAACAGGAGTAACCAGTTTGCACTGGATTAAACCTGTTTAATCATTAAGACGCTTGGAAATAAGTTGCATGATTTGATCTATTGCTTCCATCACATTAGTGCACCTCTGTGGTCATTCGGTGTGTCTATGAGGTTGTTTCATCATCGTTACTGATTTTTATCAATAATATCCTAACTCAGTGGAAATTTGAAGTATGTCTTGGAATGAAAGAGTGAAATTGTTCCATGTTCATTGAAATGGTTATCAGGCTCTCGAAAACAGGTCAGAAACCGTTGAATTGCACCAGTCTCGGTGTGGCCAGCACTCCCAGCAGCATTAGTTTCTCCTATTCTTATATTTATGGTTATGAGCCTAGCCTTTAACAGCTGAGCTATCCCTCCAGCTTAGTTTCTCTAATATCAAGTTTGCTAAAGTCAGTCAAGATGAAAAGTGTCCATATTTTTAGTAAGCTATTGTTAACACAGCAGAGATCTAAAAGAAACACATTTACATACTCATGTACATACATGCATGCATACATACATACATATATAGATGAAATATTTACCCTGGAAAAAAACATTATAGATATTGTTCAACTTTAATATGCTGACCAGAAAAATTAGTACTTAATGGGACCTAAACCATTCTTTTAGCTGTATGTTAACTGTTGCCTTAAAGATTGGTTGTTTGGTTTGGGAGGTCAAATAGAAGTAGCTGTGACTTTGACTCCTTTTAGTTGTACTGACCTTTCAATAATGTATGCCTGAGAGCCAAGGATAGTGACTAGAATGGGTTACGGCCTAGACAGTCCAGCTAGTAAACACCCAACTGTACCTCTACCACCAGTCTTTTGAACATCATCTACTCTTTTAATTTTAGCAAGTATTCTTTCTAGGAAAAAGATGCAAATGCAAGTGCTTTACTTTTTAAAAAAGAATTAAATACAGCGTGTTATTTGAAGAATATGAACATTGAACATTAAACATCAATATCAAAAACACTATGACATTTTACACATCTATCCTTCATTAACAATAAAAATATCTATTTATGTTACATGACATAGAATTTCCATAAACCTTTACCTCAGCTCTTTTTATTACTTGGTAAGCAATAACATGAAAACCTCCTAAACTGGCACTGGCCTTTGGAAAAACAATAATTCTAAATGCTTGGTAATGGGTATATCATCAAACTGTAAAAGCTAACCTTACAATTAATAAACCAAACACAGACACAGACACACACACACACACACA